TCATCATCTAATAAACCATCTTGTTAGTCTTTAAAGTGCTACATTGTCCTGCATTTTGCTTCATTTAAATCAGTGTGCTTGCCCCAGTGGATTGCTGGACAACAGATTCCTTGACAACCTCCTTAATATCAAAGATGTAGGGAAGGGAAGAAGTAGTCTAGCAATTCTCTGTATTTCTTTACACAGCACACCATCAACCTGTGGAACTCTTTGCCAGAAAATATTGTGAAGGGCAATAATACAACATTGTTAAAAACAAGAACTAGATGAATTCACAGAGAATATGTCCATCATAGCTACTGGCCAGGATGGGCAGGGATAGTGCACCTCTGTGACAGAAGCTGAGAAAGGGCAACAGAGGAAGGATCACTTTATGGTTACCTGTTCTGTTCATTCCTCATGAAACACTTGGCATTGTCTATCATTGGAAGACAGAATAGTGGGCTAGATGGACCTTTGGTCTGACCCAGAATTACCATTTTTATATTCTTACAACTGGAAGAGAAAAAACATGAGGATTTATGAGGGCCTCACAGCCTAATGGCAGGTAGGGAGGAGTAGACGTGGAATGCTAGTCTGTGCCTTGGAAATTCTAGGGTGGAAGGAACACTTGTCAATCCATAGTTACACTTGGGAAGTTTAGGTGGAGAGGGTTGAGACATTCTCTTCATTTGGGATCTGTTCCAAACCCCTAATAATTTTTGTTGCTCTTTTCTGAACTTGTTCCAAAGCCAATATTTATTTTTTTTTAGATGAGGTGACCACATCTGCATGCCGTATTCAAGATGTGGTCATACCATAGTTTGACTATCTAATGTCAAAGAATTTAAGGCCAGAGGGACTATCAGATCTTCTGTTTGTATCACAGGCCGCCACCAGCGAGGACCCGCACACTAACTCCAACCAGTGAAATGTGAGCAAAGTATTACAGCTCACAGAATACTAGACAGTTTTGTGCCATAGACAGAGAATAGATGGGACAGAGTTGCACCAATGCACTGGCAGGGAAATGATTGAGCTACACACAGATATTCCTGGCAATTGATCCACACCTGCGTGCCGCAAAGAAAATTGACCATGGGCAGTTAGATGAAGGTGGGGCTGGGGATGCAAGCTCTCAAACCCACTCCAGCCCCGCCTTTTCCAGTGAGGCCATGACCTCCACAGGAGCCAAGCCGCCTCCCTGCCCCCCGCCCACATGGAGGTAGGGCAGCATGCTGTGTGCCCATCCACCATGGCAGGGGTTCCCAAACTTTTTGACACGGGGACCAGTAAATCCATTCAGGAGCTTTTGGAGGACCAGTACATTCATTTGCATATTTGCATGTTCATTAAGCAAATGATGAATATTCAGATAAGTTGTTTCTGGTCCTTCCAAAGCCCCCAGTGCCAGCGTTAGCAAAGCTTTTGATACAGTTACTCACAATATTCTTGCCAGCAAGTTAAGGGAATATGGATTGGATAAATAGACGGTAAGATGGATAGAAAGCTGGCTAGACCAGGATTTCCCAAACTTTTTACTTTAGTTGGAACCCGGTTTTTTTAGTACTGTTTTTTGCAGCCCAAAAACATAAACACATATAAAAAAGGAATGAAAAATGAATAAATTTTCAGTTTTCACCCGGCTGCATCCTCCGCCCAGCCTGGGCCAGGGTTTGGGGGACCCAGCGCTGCATTGGCACTCCAGGAGGTGGCAGCAGGAGCAGACTGGGGGTAGGGTACCTGTCTAGGAGGGAGGGTGCAAGGAAGAGTAGGGTTGCCAAGTGTCCAGTTTTGTACCAGACAATCTGGTATTTGAGGGTTTTGTCTGAGAAACAAATTGAGAAATTACCAGACATATAAAATGTCTGGTATTTTCTAATTATAGTTTTATTATAATTAGGTGTATCAGTCCTTAGCTGCAAACTGCCTGGATAGTAGATGTGCTCACGCTGCCTGAGTGTGTCTACCTGTCAGGCAGTTCGCAACTACCAGAGGGAGGGCATGTGGGGGGGGGGCAAAATGGAACCCCCAGGCAGACTCACTCCTCTGCCGGGGTGTGTAAAGTCTGCATGTGCCCAGGTCAGTCCCGCTCCCTTCCCCCCTCTTCTCCCGATCTCCCAGTCAAGCCCAGCTGCCCCCGTCCAGCCCTGCTTCCCGCAGCTGGTTCTCCCGTCCTCTTCCTCCTGTTCTCCCCTGGCCAGCCCCTTGTCCAGCCCTGGCTCTGCCGCCTGCCCTCCCCGATTTCTGCTGGACAGCCCAACTGCCTCCAACCCTGCTTCCGCCACCTGCCCGCCTGCTCCCCCACATTGCCAGGGGACAGCTCCGCTGCCCCCAACCTTGCTTCTGCCCCCCGCTAACCCCCCATCTCCACAGGACAGTCCTGCTGCCCCCAACCCTGCTTCCGCCACCCGCACACCTGGATCTCCACAGGACAGCCCTGCTACCCCTAACCCTGCTTCCACCTGCCGCCCACCCCTTGCCCTGATCTTCGCGCCCCGCTGCCCTCAACCCTTCTTCCCAGCAGCGGGTTCTCCCTTCCCCACCTCCTCCCAGCCCGCCCTGCTCTGCTCCCCTAACGGCAGCCACACTGAGGCCCGGTATTTTTTTCCCGCGGCCCAGTAGCGGGCCGCGGCCCATAGTTTGGGAAACGCTGCACTGACCACATGTGGCTATTTGGCTAGTTGAATGTGGCTAGTTCACTATAGCTTCAGAACTGGTTGGACACCATGGATCTAGTCTGATCTCCTAAATGGGGACCCAAGCTTGGTCGCTTGCTTCTGGGGCCTGAGTTTAAACCTCCAGGCCCTGGGATGAGAGTGCTCCAGCAGTCTTTGATGATTTTCTACTGTCTTTTCATCCCTTCGTGACTTTTGCTGATCATCCCATGGCCCTTAACTATGCATCAAGCTATGAGCTAACCCTAAGGGCTCGTTGACACTATAATCTTAAATCGATCTATGTTACATCAATTTACAGCCACTACAGTTAATTACTGTGGTGGCTGATGTCCCCACAACCCTCTTTTTGTCAGTGGTGTGCATCCTTACCAGGAGTTGTCCCCACGAAAGCTTATGATTCCGTCTACATTTTTTGTTAGTCTCTAAGGTGCGGCAGGACTATTCGTTGTTTTTAAAGATTTTCATTATTCCTATGACTCTCGTGGAAGTTGAGTTATTATGTCGGAGTAGTAGGCACCCATCAGCAGGAGCCAGGCTGACGTGTAGACAATGATATAGTTAGATCAACATAAGGCACTTATGCCCAGGCTCTAATTCTGTACTCTTGACCCAGCCCAAGCTATATTTGTTTCACTTGTTAAACACTCTCACAAAGGTATTAATCTTGTGATGTTTATTTTGTTGAAGTTTTGTGAGTGGGTTTGGATATTTTATATAGCTTATGCAGGAACTGAAAAATCTACTCTGGAATTCAGACATACCTAGCACAGTCTAGTCCAAAAGCATACAGAACTACAATAGCCTCACTTATTATAGTAATAATTAGTACTTTGCCTTTCATATAGCAAAGTCATTTCATATAATATCATAGTCCAGATACTATAGGCTGTATGGCTCCTGCCTTGTAATATTTTATATGACCTCAGTATACCTGATAATTTTGAAGTTACTTCATTTTACATGGGAATTGTAAGAACATTGATAGAGACGAGGTGTGTTAGGCAATACCTTTTTTTGGACTAACTTCAGTTGGTGAAAGAGACAAGCTTTCAAGTTTACATAGAGCTCTTCTTCAGGTCTGTGATCCCTTTGTGAAAAGTGCTCACCCACGGTTTTTGTCTCTTTTATAATTTTTCTGTGGGAGCTCATTTGAGAGAGTAGTGATTGTCTCACTATGCTGTTGAGTGAACTCACACAGCAAAATAATAAAAGACAAAACAGTGGGTGAACCCTTTTCACACAGTGATCACTCTGTATCTGACCTCTTAGACTTCATTCTCAAAGGAAACCTGCACCTCACCTTCAAAAGACAAGCCTAGGAGCTTACATTCATAAGTGTGCTAAATACTAAAAATTATAGACCGACTAAAGATCTTGGATTTATGGTTTATAATCTATAGCCCACTTACCTCCCACCCAATTCTTTTTCTTTTCCATCTATGAACTTAGAGAGGTATCTGTGGGCCTCTTCACTTTGAATGGTCCCTTTAAATATATGTTAACTACTTATACAAACAATCTGTTCCACCTTGAATTTAACTGTGGCCCCCTGAGTACATTTCCAAGACCTGAAGAACAGCTCTGTATAAGCTCAAAATTTGTCTCCCTCACCAACAGAAGTTGGTTCAATAAAAAATACTATTTCACCCACCTTGTTTCTCTAATGTCCTGAGACCAGAACCTAACACCTGACAGTTCAAATTCAATCATTTTTTATTTTATTTTTCAGAGACTATATTTTCAGTCATTAGTGTACCAGGTGAACACACACATCTACTATGCACCCAAAACTCACAGGTTTGAGAGCACAATTAAGGAAATTATACTTCTAAACAGGGCTGGCGACAGTCATGGTCAGGCCCTGGGCAATGTGGGGGGGGCTTGGCTCGGGCCCCCCAGAAGGGGTGGGACTAGCGGCAGCCAGTCCTCAGTGCTGCCTGGACCATGCTGCTCAGGGTTCCAGCAGAAATTTAAAGGGCCTGGGGCTGCAGCTGCCACACCAGTGACATCTGGAGCCCCAGGCTCTTTTAAATAACCAGGCCCTAGATCAACTGCTCCTTTGCCCCTTCTTTTGATGGCCCTGCTCCTAACTATCCAATGGAGATGTAATTGCATGACCTGGCTGTATAAATGTGGAGTGTGACAATCAGACTGGGCATGCACTAATTCCTTTTGTACACAGCTGTAACTGAGAAGTCTCAAAAAACCCATTGCTTCCAATGAATGCTGTCTCTCTTTTTTTTTTCGTTTGCAGCCTGAATCTCCACGTCAGACAGAGAGCCAAAGATCCAAGCTACAGTCTACAAACAGCACCGAGTCACTCTATCAAGCTAAGCGCAAATGCAATGCCACACAGGAATTGGATATTGATTTATATGAAGGTGAACTGGTGGCTGTTGTTGAGCAGAAGGATCCCTTTGGAAGTACAAGCAGGTGGCTTGTTGACACAGGAGGTAAGTCCTATGCCCAAACATCCTAGTAACAGCTTTCCTTTTGGCTCCTGATTTTCTTTTCATTCTGGTTCATCTGTTTACTTCTATCAGATCAAGTTTGTAAAAAACAGGTGACAAACATATTTGAAATATTTTTTTTCTTTTCTATCTGATATATCTAGTTCTTAAAGGGTATGTGTATTCCTCCTTCCTGAAGCCCTACAATCCAACCAAGGTGCAGAAGGATGTAGCAGAAACCAGTTTCTGTGATGATGATTTCGATAACATCAGCCTTTTTGTCTCTTCACGGCCTACCAATGATAGCAGTGCAAGAAGTTTAGGACATAAGAGGAGTGACAGCAGTTCGTCTAATAATAGCCAGTGTGAAAAACCTGCTATTAACGGGACAGAACCTGAGCCTGATGTGGATGATCAACATGTAAGCATAATAATGCAGCATTTCTACCTATATCTATCTGTACCTGTGTTTCTTATTCCAAATATAAAAATTGTGGACTACTGCTCGCAATTTAAAGGGAGCAGGTAACCTTAGTTTATAAAAGGGCTGTTTTAATCTAATTTACCACACACTGTGTGAAAAGATCATAAATATTTAAGGGTTAAATTGTGGGATACAGCCACATCCCTGCATTAGAAGAAGTGTGGCACTGAAGCAACCCACAGGGACATAATACTAGTAGGGCTTCTGGGCGGTAAAGCCACCTTCCACCTTTACAAAGAAAGCAGGAGTGATCCCCACCAAAGCAGCTACCTCTGCCTTGTGCTATTTTCATCTATTTTTAGTAAGAAGAGCATGACCATTCTATTTTGATAAGGAACCTATGCCTTTATCTAGAACAGTTTGCTGCAATTTGTGCCTTATAGAACATCTGGTGGTTGAGAGAATTGAAGCGCTTAGTTTAGCATGTGCAAATATGCACCACCAATAGAAACAAAAAACCTCGCGGTGGGCATTCTGATAATCAGCTGGGCAGAATTTCAGTTTCTCCTTAGTGACCGCACAAGCACACAGCTTACAGGGCACAGCTAGGCTGAGACCTAGGCTAGCTCAGTTTTATTATTCAGTCTGCTTCTTTTTCAGCAGTGACGTAAGGGGCTAAGTTTGGTTTTTCTGGGGAATATACTATGTGCCTCCTTGAGGCCCAGGGTGGTTTGATGGTATTTTGCTCATGTTAGGCCCTCACTATTGGACTCCTTAAAAAGAACTACATATAGTTTCTCTGTTGTACTTCACAACACCCCACACCTAGGGCTAGTTTACTAACAGAAAATGTTCAAGCAACCCTTAGAGTCCCCAAAATAAAGTCCATAACAATAACACAAACATTCATACTCAGCCATGGTTCTTCTGCCAAACCTAGAGCTCTTTCTCTTTCCCAGTCTGCACTACTCAAAGCCACTCATCCCTGCTTTTTGGGCCAGAGCTCAGCCCCCTATGCTAACCTTGACTTCCGTTTTTTCACAATCTCCCTTGATTTTGGCCCAGCACCCTCATTACTGAGGCTATGACCACCACTTTCTTACAATCATTATTTGAAAAGATGTACGATTTTTAATCTATTTACTCTTTACTTTCCTTAAGGAAACACAACAAGGCCTTTTTGCACTATTCCATTTCCCTGAAATTCTTGTAAGTCTCTTTAGGGAAAAATCTTTTTCTTAAAGAAACTTTCTTTCCACAGAATATTGTCAGCAGTGCCGTAGAATATGATCAACAGTTTCTTTGGTTCTGCGCACTTTACACAGCCCGTCTTTATGTCTCTTTAATAAGTTTAAATTGCCATTTAAGACACAATGACCTATTAACACTACTTCATTTTTCCAATCATGATTGTGGAGTATGGTATTTTTTTTAGCATACTTCATAGAACCTTTATCCTTTTGTTTCCTTAGTGCATAGTTCTTGCAATTTCTTTGCAAGCTCCTTCAGGAGGACACTTTAACAATCTTGCCTGTTTCAGGGTATCAGCATATGTTCCTCCTCATTTTACAGCCTGTTTTGCTGTTCTGTGAGCCATCTCATTTCTAGATATTCTACTATGTACTAAAATCCATGCTATTGTTACAGAGATATCTGCTTGCATTATTTCTGTAGTTAGGAACATTATTTCATTTATTATGGCATTTTGACTTTCCGAAGTTCCTGTTCTGATTGTCATTATGACTGAAAAGGAATCAGATAAAATTACAGCTGCAGCCCATTGCATATCTCTTATCAATGTTTCATACATCATCATCAATACCTTCTTATCAGTACTCCATTTGTTTCCAGCTACATTTTAAAAATCATACATTTTTGCATGATCTTATCTATGTGACCTTTCTAAACTAATCATAAAATCATAGAATCATAGAATAATAGGACTGGAAGGGACCATGAGAGGTCATCGAGTCCAGCCCCCCGCCCTCAAGGCAGGACCAAGCTCCGTCTACACCATCCCTGACAGATGTCTGTCTAACCTGTTCTTAAATATCTCCAGAGAGGGAGATTCCACCACCTCCCTTGGCAATTTATTCCAATATTTGACCACCCTGACAGTTAGGAATTTTTTCCTAATGTCCAATCTAAACCTCCCCTGCTGCACTTTAAGCCCATTACTCCTTGTCCTGTCCTTAGAAACCAAGAGGAACAAATTTTCTCCTTCCTCCTTGTGACCCCTTTTAGATATTTGAAAACCGCTATCATGTCCCCCCGTAATCTTCTTTTTTCCAAACTAAACAAGCCCAGTTCATGAAGCCTGGCTTCATAGCTCATGTTCTCTAAACCTTTAATCATTCTTGTCGCTCTTCTCTGTACCCTTTCCAATTTCTCCACATCTTTCTTGAAATGTGGCGCCCAGAATTGGACACAGTACTCCAGCTGAGGCCTAACTAGTGCAGAGTAGGGCGGCAGAATGACTTCACGAGTTTTGCTTACAAGACACCCGTTGATACAACCTAGAATCATATTTGCTTTTTTTGCAACAGCATCACACTGTTGACTCATATTCAACTTGTGGTCCACTATGACCCCTAGATCCCTTTCCGCCATGCTCCTTCCTAGACAGTCGCTTCCCGTCTTGTATGTATGGAACTGATTGTTCCTTCCTAAGTTTATCATCAAACATTACTCACAGGAACATAAACTTTTGAACTATCTGACTTTTCTACCATTCTTCCCAAATTTTCTTCCAGATTAAAAGTATTCTCTTGGTTTTTGCAAATGAGAATTTAAATCCTTTAATTATTTCCCCACTTGGAAATTCTCTGGAGTGCTTAATTTATCTTTTCCATGGGCACTCTACGTCTTTTATGTTTAGTCCATATTGTGCAGTTGTCTGTGAAGGAGGAGATACCTATTCCCATCTGCACACTTTCCGAGAGGCCATTTGTCACAATGGAACCCAAAGGAGGGGTGATAACGCTCCCTTGTGGAGTTCCATTTGTAAATGTGTAGGGTTTGGATAAAGCTATTCCCACCTTGACTTGTATAGTTTTGTCACTTTCAAAAAAGTCCCTTATCCACCAAATATTTTCCCTTTTATTCTGATTTTGGCTACTTTCTATAGGTGGCCAGGGGAGCCCCCAGCCACACTTGGTACCTGGGCAAAATGTGAGGGTGCCCGCTCTGCACTTCCGAAACAGGCGGGGCCTCAGGCAGAAGAGACAGGGCTGACGTGGCGCCGGCCCTCCCCCCCCCCCCCCCCCCGGCCGCCCTCGCCCTTAGGGCAGTGGTCTCCAACCTTTTTAACCACACAATCACTTTTTCAATGTAAGTGCAATGTGGGGGGAGGAGGAACACCCTGACATCGGCACTCCCGCTTCTCCATCCCACACCCTGCACAGCAAGCAGGAGGCTCCCAGAGGAGCAGCTCCAAGGCAGAGGGCAGGAGCAGCATGACAGTGGGTGGAGGGGCAACTGAAGTGCCAGAGCTTGATAGCTTCCTGGCCAAACCAGTCAAGATCACCTGTCAGAGGCTCCAAGATCTACCGGTAGGTCCCAATTTACTGGGTGGTGACCGCTGCCTTAGGACTCTGGAGAGTCACCTGGAGAGTGATACGGGGCACTCCAGTGGCAATTTAAAGGGAAAGGCAGTGGTGGCAATCAGGAGCCCTGGGCAGTTGCCCTCTTTGTTCCCCCTGTCAGTGGGCCTGTAGGTGGCCTTCCCTTCACTCCATAGCATGTAATCTGCTTTTCCACTGTCGAGTCTGGTTGTCATAACGTTCTTAGGCCTAATATTTGTTCGTATCTCTGATTCTAATCTCAACAGTGTATCTTCCTGAAACCACTTTGTACCTCATTTTTCTCTGAGTATTTCACTATCTTACATTTATCATTTTTTCCCCCTCATTTTCCCCACACATGATGTGAGGGCAATAGGCCTATAAGCATCTTGTCTTGTATGTACCTTGCCTGGTTCCTAACTGGTCTCAGCAAAACTTGTTTCCATTCTATTTGCAGCCCTCCTTTTTCTATATATCACTATATTAACTGCAATAGAATCTTTAGGCTCCCTTCTCACCTGTAAAGAATCATTTCATTACTTAGATTATCATTACTTGGGGCTATATTTTCCGTTTTTCCTAATGGCTACAATAAGCTCTTGAATACGAAATTTTTTGTGTAGTGCATCATCAGTATATTATTTCAGCCATTTAATAATTCACGGTTGTCCTCAATAAATTGCTTTTCTTCATGAAACCTATTGTTCTGAATCATATCAGTACTGACCTTTTGGAACTTTTTGCTAAAATGTCTGTTTTTTCTAAGATGGAGACCTCAGTTTCATTGATTATAATAAAAACAGCTATACACTTATTTTTTTCTTTGAATTCCGTTGATTCTGTGAGTTTGCTTATATTTTTGAAAGATTTGAATCTGTCAATTTCCTTTACAGTTTTCTTTTGTTGTTTTTGTTATAATCCTTTCTACCACCACCTTTGACATTTTATAATTCATTAAGTCTCTACTATTAATGTGTGTTTTGCTTGTTTGTATGCCTTATTTCTTTACTTGATTGCTAATTTGCAAACTTCATTCCAGCAGGACACCCGATTTCTGCATTGGGGGCAATATGATGTTTTGTAGGAAGCTAGATCAGCTGCTGCTATAATTCCTTTTATTATGTCATCATAGAATTTTGCTAGGTTGCTACTTGTATACTTACTGCAAAAATATTATTCACATGTAATCTTGAAAAAGTCCCCATCTACTTTTTGAAACTTCCAGCTAGGAACTCTTTTTTGTGGTTTTGACATTTCCTCAACATTGGTACTCAATAACCATAGGGAAGTAATCACTTCCTATTTTGTCTTCTTCATAAAATTCCCAACTAGATTTACTAGTTATGTTATGTGTTGCAGTTCCCAGATCCAAAACAGAAACAGATCTATTTTCTGATTTAAATCTAGAATGCACTCTTGCATTCAGTAGGTCCA